ATGAAGGAAGAAAGGAAGAAAAATCGGTCACAAGAAGCAGAAAGTATCAGAAGAGGCGAGCGGGAAATGGAAAAATTGTGGGATTCAGTATAGCGGTTAAGATGAGGATAATGTGTGTATACATCTGCACCATTGATATCGGTTCTCAGCCATATCACCTAGAGTCCCCAACAACTGGTCTCTCTTGCCCCACGGACCTCCAACCGGCTAGTCCGTAGTATACCCCCACATGGCTCAAACCAACGGGCAAAGACTTCATCTGCTGGTGTCATGTTTTAGTCTACCTCCCCTAATCCTCCCCGAGTTGTTTACCAGCCTGAACCTACTTTGGCCAACATCGTACGATGAGGCAGACGGTGGTTAGGCATACGCAACACATGTCCCAGACACCTCAGTCGATGAAGATCCACAACCGTATCAACTGGCTTACCTCTCCTCTCTAAATCTCTACGCCTGATTTATGTGTTATTCACGTGGTGACACCACGAAACACGACCAGAACAAGGCGCAAAGTGAGTATCTGGTCAATACATTCACGGAGACAACGTAAACTTACCTGGTTTCTCAGGCTTTGCTGGTACCATGTTCCACAGGGACGTCTGATAATTACAGAAGCCAGAATCTCAGACACTATGTTTGTCAGGCTGATTTCTCTGTATATACCACAATAGGACTTCTGGCTTTTCTTGAAGACTGGGACAATCAGTGAATGACATCGACTATACTTTATTCTTGCATATTAGTAAACACTTGACTAAATGTCCTCGACCAAGTTCCGTGAACACCACTAGAGCTAGTCTGTTTGGTCGTGCTGTTCTTCTCCGTTCTAGGTTACCAACAGCATTCTCCAGTTCTGTTAGAGACCATATCTCATTGTGTTATTCAGGATCGCACTAGTTAGCAGGCAATGCAATTGTGACCAGCGACCAGTTAAACTGTTCCTCGAAGTGTTCTGCCTATCGTCTTCCCCGCGAGTGAATCCCAGACCTATTCTTCGTCCTTATCGTCTCGCTAACTATTGACCTTATGGCTTCAGTTTTTTTAAGAGATCTAAAAAAGTGCCTGCAACAACCTATCGCCGGTGCCTTTTTGCCTTTCGCTACCAACAACTGTTCGTGGTCGTTGCGTAGACGTTTTACCAGTCCTCGTCTGAGCTGCATCCGCCCCTCATTGTACTCGGGACCCGCAAGGATGTGTGCACGTGCATCCACTAGTTCAGAAGCAGTTGAGATCCGTTGGCTTCATCTAACCACTTCCTGACAGTCACACGGTTTTCAGTACTGTTGATAAAGTAGACTCGAGATGGCGCCAGGCTTCTACTGGATGAGTGTTGTTCTATCCCGATAACTGTCAAGCCAGTATTTCACTGAAAGCGACCTTAGTGCTCTCATAGAGGAGCTGCAATCACAATGGTCTTGTTGATACAGCTTTACTTCGTCCATTGAGACGCAGAAATATATGTGCTGGAACCAATGCATGGTCGCCGTCCAAACACGTGCTCCAGAGAGATCGGGAGTCTTCCACTGACCCTCTCTAGCGATAAATGATAACAATATTATCAGTGTCCACCGCTGAGTTGAACTCGGTGGACGCTACGTCAGAAAATATTTGTGTTGGCTATAGATAGGTGGCCGTCTGAGCAGCCATAGCAGGCGATAGCCGTTATCTATTCATTCGACTTGGATTCCGAAAGTGCTACGCAATTAAATGCTCTTCTGCCAGCCCACTGGTACTTTAAAAACACCTGCAACAACTATCAAGTCTAAGCCGTTGGCTTCCAGTAGGAGACTAGACAGTCTTCAGTAGGACTTACCCTTAACTTCATCCCAACTGCAGTCAGCGGGTGGGTAAGCAGAGATTACAGAAACAACAGCAAGTTTCAATATTTCTTTCTAGTCCTCACTGTGTCGTTCAGTCGAACAGCACATAAGCGACTGTCACCTGGGATCCAGTCGAGCGGAGAACTTTCTGCCTTGGGACTCATTGCAATATATACATCTGCAGGACCATGAGAACTAGCCATCAAATCTCCAGAAAGTTGAAGTCTGAATTTTAAAGATTCAACATATTGGTAGGGTGAGATTAAGTGAGTAACTGCTCTTGCGTCCTGCATGTATGTCTCACAAACAACACACATCCATAACCCGAGTTGTGGCTAGTGAAGCTAGTTGGCCGACCTGTCGGATGGTCTGAACACCTTAAGCTTCAATGCGCGGCTTCAGGAGACTAGTGAAGGTGTTCTGTGAACTCAAATGGTTGCCAGGAGATGCAGAGCTGGAAAAAATAAAAGATGGTGTAGGACTATTAATCAGGTAACTGAAAGGAAGACTAATAGTTAGAGGTGTGAAAGGTGAGCAGTACTCTGAGAACTTGAGTGCTGATAGAGTTGTAAGGGTGGTTGATACTTCTCGGCTGTCCATATCGTAGAAGGCTAGTTTCTTCCTGATGTACCTGAAAAAAGGGCTTTTGCGTGACCGCAAAGTCCAAGGAACATCTGCTTGAGGCCGATCACACATGGCCTTTTTGTAGGTTTGAGATTTTGGTTTGCTGCTTTCGAATCCGATTATGAACCCATGTCACAGGCATTGGCATGCCGTGGAGTAGTGGAAGTATGCTGTTTCTAGGACCGACTCTTCTCACAAAGAAGGTGGCATCAGCATAACGCTGCTGATCATTTACAGGATACACTTAACTGTCATCATAATTCCTATCCAGCTACTGTTACGACTTCGAACTCGGGCTCCGGTCATAGCATAGCAATTTACACTATATAATGACAGTTGCTTTTTGTCTTACCATTGTCCATCTGACCTTTTCTTGTATGATAAGACCTCAAAAAACAAGCAATCCACCAGAAAATTCCGTTGGGTCATTTAGAAACACAACGTTGAACACTACTTCTAAGTGGCAGCGATCCGACATACTAACAAGTTCATCTGCGAAAGAAAAGATGACAATAAACTTCGGTAATCAATAGAACATCAAAAGTGTAAATTTGCGCCTAATGAATATCGTAGACCGAATTTTGAAGACGATTTATGCAAGAAACTATGGTTTGTTGCACCAAATCCCCTCTCATCTTTAATATTTCGAGTTTTTTTTCTAGTAGTGAAAATTTAGAAGAACATGACTCGATAATGACATACACTGTGATCGACAACTAGTTTGGTTAGGTTTAATGATATTAATCCATTTACCTGACAAAACCAATTGCACGATTTAATTTGTTGAAAGCCACTTGTTTATACTAGTTAATTAAAATACGAATGCTACCCCGCAGCTCCATGAAGTGTGAAATAAAGACAAGTATATAAGGACTGTGTTTCTTTTTTTAAACTTTCTGAAGACATTGATGACGGTTATATTGATCTCGGTGACTAGTGGAGGAATCTAGGACGCGCGTTTCGTCCTATTTAGTATTCGTCAGCTGGATGTACCTGCACCCCAGTGTGTTGTTCCCGATAAGGCTCGAGTCCAACAGAGGTAGGATAATTCAGCCCTGTATGGCAACGAGAAATTACAACTATCGTCACAATAACTGATACCCGTTGCACAAGAGGTGGCTAGTGGATAATGCTCTGGCGTCTGAAGCGAAGGGTACCGGGTTTGAGCCTTAATAGAAATAACATCACTCACTGGGGTGCAGGTACATCCAGCTGGCAAGTCCCAAGTAGGACGAAACACGCATCCTGGATTCTTCTGCTAATCACCAAAATATAACATCATGAATAACCGGTAGTATCGAGGCATCTGCATATGAGCCCATCTGTCAACCGAGGTCGAGCAATTCGGACCTGTATAGAAACGCAAATTACAAGTATCATTACTACAATCCTGATGACAGAATAATGAAAGAGGAGAAAAACACGAACATGTGCTTGTGTATAATATGAATGCAAATATACATACCAATGCATAAATACAAACGTTGATTTCATTCGGATCAACGATTAATGTGACGTGCCCAAAGGCGTTAACTAGGTTGACCAACCAGAAAAAGAACAATAACAACAAGAAAAATAAGAAGAGGAATACAACTATAGTTATTTGTATGTCAACTCGAGAATTGGCTTTGGTTTTTCTGTTCTCTCTTAAATAGTCAATAGACAGATAGATAGTAAAGTAACGGTAATGCCAGTAATAGTAATAATAATAATAATAATAATAATAATAATAATAATAATAATAAATATGTAATCCACACTGATTTTTTTATGTATATACAGTCCAAAGGAAGAGAAAACTACACAAAACAGGAACTTTTAGAACTGAAGGATGACAAGAACAAATCTTCTACACTCAGAAGATTAGAGTATGTGGGGGGAAGGTCCATCTTTACAACATAGTTTGTCAGGCGCTTGTATATTGCACAGTTTATCTAAACATATATCACCGCGAACCTCAGTCGGTTGTACGATACAATTATTATGACTGTTGTATAGACACAACCATGATAATAATAATAATAATAATAATAATAATAATAATAATAATAATAATAATATTCATAATGATAGTAATGAGATGAAGGTAAACAGTGCATTGATGATTTGATCCGGTACATCGCAAACAACGTGAAAGTGGGAAATCTGATGTGATCGGTAATTTATGATCATTCAACAGGGATGGGAAGAGGAGGAAAGAGATCAAGACGGAAAACTAAGAAAACAGGATGCCAGAAAGGCATTTTTCTTTTCTTTTCCAGTTATAACGATGACAAGAAAAATTTATACTTTATTTAATTAATCCTACATCACAGATATACAGAAAGGGCAAGAACAGATACATGGATTGATAATTAGATATGAGAATATACGAAAGTTAACAAAAGTAGCCATACAGGCAAGATAATTAGCTCATCAAAGATGTGGAATGATGTCAGAGATTAGCAAATTGAATAATCAGTTGTTGGTTATTTACCAGAAGTCAGACAGTAATAAAAATGAATGTATGAATGCATTAATGAACGCAAACAGAAAGAAATTCGAATAGTCAAAACATCACAAATTCATATTTGTTGTGGAATTATTACTATTATTCCCATCCTTATCAAATTCAGCCATAGCATCATTCAGTTCAACAAATACCAAGCGAGCCATATTCTCATATGGTGTACCCATCCACTGAAAAATAATAAAGCGGGGAAAACACAAATATTTCAGTAGTACAGTACAATAAACAAGGCAATACTGTATAGCTAAGTGTAATTCGATCGATGAAAGCATGATGAATACAACGGTGCATTATCATTCAAGTAAAGTGATGTCATTTAAAGATTTAGCTTTAAGATTGATGGCGCTCAGTGGTAATATACAGTCTCATGGACCTCAAGGAGATTTATATCTCTCTAAGTAAAATGTCACCAGTCTTCTAAGTCCATAATCTAAACATATTTATTGTCAGCTCATCAAAACAAACAGTGACAAAAATTGAAGAACTTCAGATAGGAATGAATTACAATACAAGGGATGCATCGAAGCCAGAATTCATCGCTGCATTGGAATAATTGCTTAACACATCAGGATAAAATTAGTACACTCAACAAGGAATACGGTAAACAATAGTACTATTGATCAAACATAAGAGACATTACGCTCGAACGACCACTCCGGAAGAAAAGGACTAAAAACACTAAAAAAGAGGAAAGACATCGTTGTAATCCCACCATTGTAGTCATAGACAAGGAAGACAACATCAAAAAGGCAGACGATTTACTTAAAGACGAAAATGCGTATCAACCACTTGAAACTAACCCTATCCAAAAGTTCAACAACCAGATTAACAGAACCTTGAACAAACTCTTCAAAGTAGAAAAAATAACAAAGCGAGACAAATGGCAAATTAAATCAAATGGACCTGTCCCTCCACGACTCTACGACAGACCGAAACTACACAAACAAGACATCCCTGTTCGACTAACAGTCTCACTTCCGGAAACTCCAACCTACAATCTATCCCGAGAGCTTTCGAGGAAACTGAAATACCTTGTGAAATCATGCGGACATTCCATCAAATCATTGATAGAATTTTTAGAAAGGGTGGAAGGCATTGTTGAAGAAAGCGACGCACTAATGGGATCCTTGGGATTATACACAACGATTGAACCATAACTGGGTAAGGATACTATGTCTCTCCTCCTCACTGAAGACAAAAGTCTTTCAAAACGCACAAAACTTCAACGTTCAAATCTGAAGGAACTCATCGATCTTTGTTTTACAACATACCTCCAATTTATTGTTAAGATATGCACACAAGTGAAAAAAAAATTCAATAGAACCGCCGACATCCAGATTAATTGCAGAATCAGTGATGCAGAGACTAGAAGCCACCATTTTACCTGTGATTAAACCAAAAATTTGGTTTCACTATGATTGAAAAAAAAACGATTTAAAAACACTAACAGTCTGATCAACAACGTTTTCAATGACACCGAATTCACAATGGAGAAGGAGTCAAACTGCTAACTAACATTCCTGGATGCTATATACCAAAAAACTGGAAACCCAAGTGTACAACAAGTCAACGCACATTGATCAAATCATCAACTACAGTAGCAATAACCCAACAACGCACAAAATAAGTTGCGTGCAGACTATTCAAAAGAGCGAGAACAAACTGCAGTGCAACAACTTCACAGAGAAACGAAGAAAGTTACTTCATGGCCATCCTAAAGAAGAACGGCTATCTACAAAACTTTATCAGAAGATGCCTATCTCGTCCACGATCAGCTACAAGAGTGTCCAAGTCAATCACTATCCTACTGTACATAGAGAATATATCAGAGATTACAACAAGATTACTGAGAACACTTGGAGTTGGTGTGGCTCATTAGCTAATAAATTCCTCTTAAATCATATAATGCAGACGGAAAGGATGCAACAGTCGAAGAAGACAAAGTATAATTTAAAAGATCAACTGCAATAATTGTGACTAACAATGCATTGGGAAAAGTGGTCATCCTCTTCGACATCGTGTATATGAACACTAATTGGCTATTACGCGTCACAACATTTCATCGCTCATTCCAATACACGTGGATAACTCTATAGACATGAAATCAATTTTGACAATGAAGAAATCTTGGACAGAGGAAACACAAAGATTATCAGAGAATTCTTGGATGCTTAGCATTCAGGTCAGTCTGCAATCAATAAGTGTATAGACATAGACACAATCTGTCAACCAATGAGAAGAATGATAAAAAACAAAAATATCAGAGGTCAGATGGAGAAACAGCCAACAGTAAAATCTATGCAGATAATGACAACAATCAAAGGATACAACCAATCAAAAACCAGTTCATCAGGATCAGCTACTGATTCACTCACGGAGAGATGTTGAAATTAGTGCTGATGATGCTGTTTAGAAAGACAATGAAAACTCCATAACTAAACAACCCAACTTAGAGAACACAATACAACCAACATTTATTCCCGTCCCAAGTTGATTGTTCAATAGTGGCTCTAAATGGAGCACTAAAAAATAAATCTAACAACTGAAGGAGTACGAATTTTCTTGACACTAACGATATATCTTCAGAAAGCATGTATACAAACATTCAATAATTCACTTCCAATAATCGAATAATTATAAACTTAATAGTGAAAAGCATTACTGTAATTGCATAAAATGGCTATGCGAACTAACTTTATCAGGATGAACTGCACGAGCAGCATTACGATACTGACGTTTAACCTGATCTCGCGTTATAAGATCAGCCATGCCAACGTGATTCCAACGTACACCATCCCATAATATAGTAGGAAGAGAGCACAATAATGCTCTGAGATTACGATCCTTACCCTCTGCCCAATCAAAGACCTAGGGAAAAATGTTGGTTTAAAAAAAAAGAGCAACATTAGGCAAACACTCCCCACAGAACATTTATAATAAATTGTGAGACTCTTCCAAGTATTAAAGGAATCAATCACTATACAGCTGCAAAACTTTAAGTTCGAATCTAACTGGCTTGAGAGAATTGAAGTAACCTAATTAAGTCTGACAGTAACAGTTTTGATACACAAAATAACCCTGAGTTATTGACCGCCCGGCGGTGGTTTTATAACTAAGTCACCCACCTCGGTTTGTCTAGCTACGATACAATCATCTGGTTTATAGCCCGGTGTATAAAACCTCAAAGGTTTCAATTCTCAGATCTATTTCTCAAAACCTGATGAAAAAGACAAGTTATTTTACACCTTTCACTACCATCAAAATGAAGAATAAAAGATACATCATTCCATGGAAGTTTTAGGGAAAATTTTCCACATTAGACAATTACATGCAGCAAATCAGATCTGCGATCACTCTAATTACAACAAAAAGGTAATAAAATAGCAATGCCAGGGCAATTAAGACAGTGATATAATACATCAACAAATATGTTTTATTATATATGAGACAGTTAATGTGACTGTGAGTTCGAGTTCCAGGAAGAATGTCAGAATAACTAGGATGCAAATAAAATAAAATAACTAATCAAATATAGGTTAAATGCTCATCTTTATAACTTATCAATACTTAAAGCTAACAATTACGAGAAGATAAACTAGCGTTATAAAAAGGTTTAAAATCTACCTTCATTTGTTCAGGGTCTGTAGTTTTAGCCATTTTCTCGCGACGAATTTGATTCACTGTCTTAGGCTGTTTATCATCTGTATTAGCCGTTCGAGAGGAACCGAATCCGCCGAGTAGATCTGAGAATGCATCTTTTTTAACTTGAGGTCTAGCTCCAGTTCCGCTACTTGGGATTGATGTTGTCGGAGTACTTGCAAAAGTTGACCGAGAGGAATGAGGCTGATTGGACTTTTCATTAACATGCGAAGTATTAGTAGTGTTTTCTTGTTGATTTGTATCTGGTTTTGTGGAAGACTTTGTAATCTTTGGATCCATACCGGCTGATATCAAAAGACATATAAATAAAGGAGTGTTAATGTATGAAAAACTGTACATTTATCAGTACAAGTTTACCATATAGTAAAAATAGATGGTTGTAAACCTTACGTGTTGTGACACATTGCGATCTCATCATACTTTATCCATTTACATCATTTACGCTACTTCTTCTGGTTATATTGCGTTTTTTGAGCTGGGTTGTTAGTGCTGATGATGTCGTCCAGCAAGACAATGAAAGCTCTACGACTAAGCAACCCAGTTCAGAGAACGCAATATAACCAGAAGAAGTAGCGTAAATGAGCTACAAATATTCTGCACGCTACTTCTTTATTCGCTGGCTGTGAGATTTTCCCGACTACAGTTATACATATGAAATACGAACAAGATTTCGCCCAATAGTAACGCAAATATGGACATTAAATATAGGTTATATTTGAAATGAAATAATTTCAACGTTTCACGAGGAAGTCTGGTTAAAGCTTCTTCAGGGGAATGATGAAAGTTAGAATATCGAAGATACATAAATGAATTCCAGAAATATGTATACTCCTTATTCTCCCCCTACTCAACTCTGGTTGTGTGATCATCACTTTCTAAAATATGATTACTCATCACTCAGTGCGAAATTGGAGGGTGACTTTAAAGGCCACCCTAGTAACTGGTGTAAAACCCAATCAGGTTTCCGTGTCGTGGCTAGAAACGTAGTTTTGCATAAAATAGAGAAACGTAATTAGTTATCTTAACAGTTGCTGGGGTGGGTTTTGAAGTCACTTGTGAAATCGTATGTCTCTTGTTGAGTGATGTGTGTTTATTCACATACGTTAGGATTTTATCAGTGCTATAGGAAGCTGGCAATGAGGGATTTGTTAGAGGCTGAGATCGATGAGCAAATCATGAACTTTATTTATCATCAACATTATAAGCAGTGTTTAGATTTTCCGTAACCTCCATCTCTAAAGTATTCACAGCTGTATTTCACACGATTCATAAAACTGTAGTTGCCAAAAACATCATCGTATTCTTCAGGTAACTGAAAACCAAATTCATCAAGGAGATGCTTTTTATCAGAGTCACATACATTTCGGAAATAACAATAATAACACAGTACATCAAAACACGATTAATACCAACATATAGGCCAATATGACAGTTAGGAAATACTACCTTTCTCACAGATTCGACCTGAAAATGTCGGAAATTAAATTACTTTCCATTAAGGCTGTTTTGAAATTCCAAGTCAAGCTTCACAAACTTGCTTTGTAATTGGATGATTCCTAAGGTCATTGTGCCGAAACCTACATACATAAATGAGTTTCTACTTTGGTCATCACAACCTAACAGCAAGAATCTTATTCTTTCTTGCTAGTACCTGGAGAAGCGATTAGATCGAAGTATGCTTGGTTCGTGGTTATTTGTGGTACTTTCTGAGTATTCAGTGTCAAATCCTACTAAGTAATCGATTCCAGATCATATCAACACTAAAACAGTTGCAATGAAATAAATAAACTTACACCTAGAATGATGTACAGGGCTAGGACCTGCGGAAAAACCACCCAATGTGGTTGGTGTTTTATTTGACACAGGTGTTGTAGTGGGAGTATAATTTTGATTATTCAACCGATCTCGAAGAACACTAGCGAAATCTGCGAAAGGGTCAGGACTATCACGACTACCCATGGCAGCAGAGGCGGCATTAGTATTCGATGCAGTCTCAGTAGTCGCAGATAAATTCGAATAAGAAGCGGATGTGAACAGAGGATTGACATTAGACGGGTTTAGATTAGTGGCACTCACACTTCCACTTAAGTGACCACCAGCTTGTTCAAAGTAATCTTTAGGCATACTATTCTTATCCTGTGCTTGGGAGTTAGGGAAATTTGGAACTGAAAAGAAATTGGACTCAGAACCGGATGTAGCTATTCCAAATGGATCGAAAGGATTGTTCGAAGAGCTGGCAGTAGTGGTCTTAACACTAGTAGCAGTGTTTTCTGATGTTTTTCCAAAAGCATCCTCCCAACCGAGATCGATTTTTGAACTGTTTCCAGCAGTTGGAGAAAATGTAAATAAATCATCAGCAAATAATTGTTTTTCTGTTTTTAATTCACTTGCTTTATTTTGACTGTTCACTGGATTGACTCCATCCTTTGATTATCAGTGTTAGTCATTATAAAAGGATTTTGTGTTACATCAATTAAAATTGGTTCATTAGTATTGTCTGTGGTGGGTACATAAGATTCTGTATGCAATCCCAGCAGATCAACGAAATCTGACTCCTATGGACAACAATACAAAAGAATAAGATGAGATTTGAGTAGAATAAAAACAGTGAAAGAGTAGGCATACCGTTGACTAAGTTATTCACTACCACAGCAAAGCCAATAAGAATTCGGGTCATTTTTTTCAAACTGAAATATAATTTACGATGTTGCATTTATCTTAGTGATTAACAGTGGAATCCAGGGCGCGCGTTTCGTCCCATATGAGACTCGTCAGCTGGATGTACCTACACCTCAATGAGTGCTGTTGTTCCCGGTACTCATCGCTTCAAACACCAAAAAGTTATCCACTACGCTGCTAGGCCACGATACCCACCACTTGTGCAACGGGTATCATTTGTTATTGTTTGATACTTGGTGATGACCAACAGTGGTCGAGCAATTCAACCCTGGTATAGTAACGGGAAATTACAAGCAACAAACAAATGGAATTTAATTCGTTTTATTTAACAGGTTAGGAGCTGACTCAACTAAACATCCGGTTGAAATAACATATCATATGAAGGGACGAAATGGTTATCGGTTGACTGTCTTATGTAACTTAAAACCATATGTAGGTTTGTGAATCAGGCAATGAGCCACAGTTATTGTGTACGATGCTTTCTGACACTCTGTACCTTCTCCAACCTAGTTAAGTGGAATGGAATCCAAATGCGTAAAGCACTGGTTAACAGTCAACCGTCTAGAGCAGTGAGCCACCAGTTGACTAAGAGCACAGATAAAAAAGTAAACAAAACAGAAGCACTATTTCTTAGGGACTAATAACAATCGCTGCCATCATGATCTCTACGGAATCAACATTTTGCACACTCTATTTAGCTTACCAAATAGAAGACACTACTACCTTGGATATCGAACCATCAACATTTTTTGAGCACCGCACGTTTAAGTCGAAGAAACACAATCTTAGCATACCTGATGAATGATAAATGAAATAATAAATAAAGGAAGTTGAAGAGTTTTGTTAACTGTTAAAACTTTTGACAAACTGAGTTGATTTCGTAATTATAGATCTAATTATTTGTTTGGTTTCTAGAAATACTATTTATAAACATGTTCAGCAAAGAAATAATTGATGTCCAGCTTTGTATGACTGAAAATGTTTGATAATTAACGATTATTAGATCCAGTAACATGTAAAATAGGGTTTATATGATACACGACTATAATTATATGAAGTACATCATATGCACTGTATTATTTACTGAACCAGCTATATCATGAGGCTATACTGAGACCTCAATTAGTAGTTAAATCATATGCATCAATCATTTGGTAAGCCGTAGTTTACTACTACTTAAAAGTTCGTTGTGATCTGACCTCTATATCATCTCTCTGCTCATCAGTATTATGTCATATGATGGTCTAGTTAATTAAAAATGTAGAAACCGGCAAGAAATGACAATAAAACTTACAGTGTTCGACTGTTCTTTAGAAGATGATGGTAGGTTAATATTATCACAGGGTTCATCATCAAAAAAATTCACATTATTATTAACAGATGGCTTATTTGAGTTTTCAGGAGAGATGGGTGGATCAGTATCATTTATTGATACATCACTGATCAAGTTAGGTACCAGAAGATTATGTACCTCTGTATCCTTTCGGTTTGTACTGCCAGATACATCTGTAGCAATTTCAGATTTTGACGTCGTTTTATCAGTATGAAGTTGGTCTTGTGATGAAGAACTACCTTCATTGGACTGATTACATTCTGAATAGTCTTTTTTCTTTGAAATAACCGACGCTTTGTGATTAAACCGTCCTATGGGCAGAAAAAAAACAAGGCAATTGTGAGTTAATTATGATCATTGGGGGATAGAAAAAACAGACGAACTCGAAATACAGAATGAGAAAATTTCCTTGAAGCTGTTCAAGAAACTAACATTAACAATTACAAATGAAATTCCTGGAATTTATTACGACAAAACAATTGACTACTCAGATTATTGCCAAATTAGCTATTCGTAACTACTATAAAACTTGCTCAAGTAGGATTGTAAACAGAAGTCTGCCTACTTTTCAAATCTATCTTAATTTCAAGAGGAATAAGAAAAGTGATTATTTGAATTCAACAGATTGTTATGAGTCATTTAACGTAAACACTGTCGATCAAAAACAAAACTATGAAGAAAACTTCAGCGATTAAGTTCCAATAGCATCCACCATAAAAAGGGGAATTGAAAACAATCAGGTTGAAGTGTAAGGAATCCTCATGAGTTTTTCAGTTTGATTTTATCCTACAACGTCATGAGTGAATACTGCTAACGAGTTCCAAAGAAGAAGGAGACAGATATTGATTCCTGATAAAAACTTCCGATAAATGTTCTAATGATCAAATTGTTGATAGGGATTCGCAATACACCATATTAGCTGCAACAACTGTAATAAGAGCATTGTCCAGAAAAAAGTAGACATCCAATAACAACTAACACATCGATGAACATCAAAACAGTAGTAAACTGCCACCATACAATATAATTCACTTCATGTCGATGAAAGCAATAATAGATTTGAACAGAGCACCTATGAAATATTGAAACACCACTTTAAAATGCATAGTCTATTTCAAGCAAACAAGAAAAGAATGCTGGATGTAGACTTTCCTATGGATTGTGAGTCAAAATAGGCTGAAGACATGAAACTAGTCTGCAAAATCAACAATCATTGAGGAAAAACAAATCGTTCTCTACTTGTAAAAACAAAGAACATGAACAGTATCAATTGTATTGATGAAGAGTTTGCGCGTTGTAGAATTTAAAAACTCTATCACATATAGATAATTGTACTCAAGATATTAACAAAACCTTAAAACATTCATTAGAAATTTATCTGTTGAAAATTAATAGTATTCTATAGAGAAAACAAAATATAATTTTCATGAATCATACAGTAGGAATCATGGGTACTTCGAAGATAACAGATTAAAATGAACCGAGTAAAGACATTTTCAGAAAGTGTAGTGAAGGTCAGTGGGTCAAGTTAGAAATTAGTGAATAGAAAAAGCACAGGAAGTCGATTCATCTATGTTTAAAAAGCTGAGGAATAAACGTTCCATGAAACCTAATTCCATATTCTAATAGAGAGAGAGAGAAGTGTATTTGGCATGAATAAAAATGTTGATCATTGGTCGACCGAAGATCGTGGTTGACGGAAGAGAACACAGTGAAGATCGCATAAAACGGTCAAATAACAGACCCGATAAACACTGAGATCAATCGACAAGAATACAACGAGCCAACCACCTTCTATAATTTAACCTTGCTATAATCATACCCAAAAAACTTATACATGAAAAGCACAGTTCAGAAGAAAAAAACTCTCAGAAAATCGATATAACGCATGATCTACATTTTTTCAAAATATACTTAGTTTCCGGAACAGAAAGAATAACCACTCTATTTATATAACCGTAATATCGTTTCATCATCCTTTTGTCTGGCAAACTTTCAAAAGTGCAGTAATAAATGTATCGATCTCCTAGATGACCACTTAGTAAGCTGTTTTTGTAAAGCCATTTCACTTTAAAATTATTACGCCAACTGGTTATAGAAATGACAACGAAAAGCAGCGCTCCACTACAAATATGAATGAAGAAGGAGATATTAAATTCGACCACCTAGGTATGCGACATTACAGTGTGTTGTTATGGCTAATCGGAAAGAAACCTTGGGTTTATATTTTACACAAGTTCAATGCCATTGGATCATCAAAGCTTTTATCTGATTAGCTAAGTGGTATCATTTTTTATTTCAGCACTGCTTAAAAACATGTTTCGATTTCTTAGACGACAAGAGTATCATAAGCACAACAATGATGTTATGAAGATGAATTCTGACGAAAATTTAAACCGTGCAAAGATATTCCTTATCACAGGCTAAGGGGATTCAATATCCAAACAAACTACACACAGGTCTATTGCTGATCGTCTACATAATAAAGAGATCTATCTGACTGTAGGAGGGTCAGTCAGCACAAATGTGAAACATTACTGCAAAACAGTCCAAGTTGCCATAACTGACACTAGCGTGACAAGACAGAAAGGATCAAGATGAAAAACTGAGAAATGAGGACAAAAGTAAGTAGGTGTACTATAAATTCAAAAACAGAGAGGAATACACAACTGTAAAATAACGAAGTTCGGTGACGATTAGGATAGAGAAAATGTGTAGATAGAACTGAGTCACTGAGATCGATTCTGACCAATATCACTCAGTGTACCGATTTCAGTCGCTATGTTAAACACAACCAAGAAGTATACATTTTCATACATAGCTCAAAACAACAGTCAGAGACTTCATGGACTGTTACCACGTTTTCATCTGACTGTTTTTAATCGTATTCCAGCCTAAACTTAATTCGGTTAACTTAGTAGGATACGGTACATGTTTACTAGACATGCATAACACATGTTTTAAACATCCGCATCATATGAACATGAATAATAAATTCTGTGTGATAAGTCCTTCAATAAATAATGCTGTTTAACTGTACAGAAATATCTAACAAACCAAATAACATTCAATGCCTTTCTTTGTGCATGAAGTCCGTACTGGTCAGGAAAAGGTAGTCGTCTGAGCACACTTGTTGCGGACGATCACCATTATTCGTTCGTTCGACTGGGATTCTGTAAGTACTAGTATAATGCCTTCCAGTCTGATTTAACCTACACACCTATCCACTGAAATCACTTAATACGATAACCACGTCTGAACGCTTAGCTTTCGGTAGGAAACTAGAGGATTTTCAGTAAAATTCATCTTTTGCTTTATCCTAATTGCAGTCAGTGGGTGTATAAACAGATATTACAAAAAGGCAATAGCGAGTTTCAATATTCTTTTTCACCGTAACTACAGCACTCAGTTAAGCATTGGAGAGGTGAATGTCAACCGGGATTCAGTCAAGCAGAGCGTTTTCTGTCTTGAGATATGATGCTATAACCTAAACCTGAAAGACAACAAGAAATAGTCATCGAACCACTAGAAACTCTTAGGGTTAATTTTTTCGCATGCATCGAATAGGCCCAGTGAGGTTAGTTGAACAAATGGACTTATGCTCTGTATATGCCTCACAAACACAGCAGACGTCCGTGGTCTGAAATGCCAGTGTTGGTTAGCGGAGCTTTATAGTTTGAAGCATTGTTTCTAGAGATAAGAAATGCTGTTCCACGAACGCAAAGTTATCTAGAGATGCATAAATCGGAGACTTTAAACACGATGCCAGAATATTGACCGAGAGGTGTGAAAGGTTGGTAATCATCAGAGAGAACTCGAATACTGACAGAGATGTGAGACCGGTCGACATTTCACGGATGTCTACAACATGGAGGTTATTTTCGTAAGGTACCGGTAGGGGGAAAACTGAAACAGCTATTCGTGACCGCAGAGGTTGAGAGATTTCTGCTTTAGGTCAGTCATGTACAATCGTCTTAGAAAATTGAGATATAACTGTGACTATGTTGAATCCGAACTATAACTAAGACATACCACCAACACTAAAAGATAGTAGCGCATGGAGGAGCCTGTTATTTTCAAGACCAAGCTTTTCTAAACCCACCTCATAGGAAAGGCAGCATCTACATATTACTGCTGATCATCCACGGGAAGCAGCCTACTGTCATCACACCGTCGTCCAGCCAGCAGTAAGACTTCACTCTCATATCTGCATCATAGCGTAGCTATCTACACTTTTCATCTTACCACTATCCAACATACATTACTGGTATTCTAAAGCCCAAAGGGACAAATGTTCTCACTAGCATTTCTCGATGAGTCACATTGTGGTATACCAGTGCAACCACCACCTCAAGGCAGCAGCTAACGTATCATATCATCGTAAATTGCCTAGAAAGCAGGCAACAAAGATAAAAACATATGGTTTAAAACCACGACCTTGTCATCTGCTAGTGTAAGACATAATGCTGAAATTCATACTAAACTCAAAATTCTAAGGATATGCAACTCTTTATTTTTTCTAAAGAACTATGTTACCAAAAATTAGATATCACTTTCATCTGTATACAAAGTGACTCTGACTTTCATACTTTTATTTGGTTACTTTGTCGACATGAATAATTAGTTTAATGTGAGCTTATTCATCTACGGTCAGCTATATGTTATCGTCGTTTATAAATTGAAATAACTAAATGCACTCGACCGCATTCCATAAGTCTGTCATTAGTGTTTATATCAAAGATAATCTCATACTTCTTGTTCAAACAGTGATAGCAATTTCTTGATAAAATTATTTCACTTAGATAAGGATATATTCAAGCGATCTGAGATAGTTTGTCAAGATGATTCAGTAATGAACTGTGATGCGTGCGCATATGAGATATCTGGTCAAATCAGGAATAGTTTTTGCATGTCTAACGATATTTTGATTGCTTATTCTCATACTATGCCACTTAGGAATAATACTAAAATCCTATTGGCTTTCTCTTAAGTACGACTGTAATTAATATTATTATGTGATTGAGCTTGTGTGAACTGTCTGTAACTGACTTCAAAGACAAATCTGGCTGTATTATAACACCCCCATACAACATGGTACATTATTAGACATGTACAAAGTTGGACAACAAGTTACATACCTTAAAACAATCGTATACATTAAACTCCAGTTTATACTAAACTACCAAGTCTACTGGACTAAGCATTTTGTCATCCGCCTACTCTTGTATGATTCTTTTTACCTTCAGATTGATATTCATCATGGATTGACATCAATTAGAGAACCATTGGAAACTTGGGAGCATCGGACACCTGTTTCGTCTTCAACAGTGCGTACCCGTGAATCCACTAGGGATTAAACCAAAACCTTCAGGTTGCGCGACCAGCATGCTACCGTTGAACCAATGGTCCGTATTTCCTATTTCTGTCAGTTCACGATATAGTGCGATCTCCATCCAGTGCCGCCGATGAGTAACTGTCCTCATGTTCGACTTGGTTGGTTTCCCTGGTCACGATTTCTCGTTGGAAAATTCAAACATAAAGAAGTATTTATGTGTTCATAGATTTAAACAGTTCACTAAAACACCCTAGATCGAAAATTTAAACAAACTCCAGTTGGTTTCGCCGAGAGAGGAGGAGAGAAAAATAAGTCTTCATGTAGATCATCGCACCTCACCGTCTATAGTATAAAAGCCCTACGTTAAGAAGTTTAGATACAAGTTAAAGAAATTCATTCACCAAGACACATTTTCGTATGTTTGTTCGGGATTACAAATACATCTTGCCAGTGAATACCTCCCATGTACTGTATGTAAATATGCAATACTAACCTGACTTACTAAATACTATGGTAAGGCAAAGTAATAACTTGATTAAAATTCCTGAAATTGCTACAAAGATTAAGACAAAAGGAGTACAAGTGATTTGTTGAAGCATCTTACCGAAATCAGATAAAACACTTGCTAACTCTTTTGGATTTGATACGCATAGTGTAGGACGTAGTAAATCTTCTGAAGGTAGTGTCTCCCATGGATAAACAAGGTTATCACTTTGTCTTGGTCGTTCAGTTGGAGAAACCATAAACTCTAAAGTGACATGAAAACTTTCAGCATAGCGACTAGTGAAACCAGCAAAACTGCCACTGTTATCCAGATGATCCAAATCTGATCTGTCAGAAAATTAACAATAAACAAATAACGCATATGCGGGGAATTATCACAGGATAAAGAAAACAATCCAAGACAAAAACTTATTGTGTGTTACATAAGTTCAAGAATTAGGATTAATGTATCTACTTAAATTTGATTTATATCATCCTTCTGAAATGTCTACACCAACGCCAACGAACATTATTATAATCTTCCACTCCAAATGACACTGAGGCACAGACATACTCGTGACCCCCTATATCATAAACATTCTGCTACTCTCATTACTGTAATTGTTCTCCTTTTCCTCTTTTACGTCTAATGATAATTTCTCCAAGCTGCTGAAAATTGTGAGATGTAAAACGTAGTCGTGCCTGTCTTTTGCACCGAATTGTGAAACTATTATGTATCATATTGGTAGCTTTACTAATATACTAGATAATGAAAGGGAATGCTTCAACGTTTATGCTGCAATACAATATTGCAACTCTGAAGCACTTGAACAGGAATAGTATAGAAAAATGCAAAAAGAGATGACATTTCAAAAGCCGCAGGCGCTATAGAAGTGTTAGTTGGTTGGAGGCAATCCGCAGTACGTCCTGAACTCAGGTTTCGTGCTTGCTGTCACTCGTCAGGATCCTCAAGGGGACGGATGTCCCACCTGAGACTCGAACCCTTGTCACCCAGTGTTGCAGTCAGAGACGTTACTACCAAGCTATTCATCAGACCACGAGTAACCTATTGTGGGACTGTATTGCATAAGGAGATTGTTCACCGGAGAGCAACCGATCTTATGTTGTCTAGCCCTGAGTCCTGACCGAATTATATCGATCATTTTAAGTAGCCACCAAACTAGGAGACTCACCATCACAGTGCACTGTGATGGATTTTAGTTAGTTGGTTGGAGGCTATCGGTAGGAAGCTCTGGACTTATTGCACCCACAATGGTGAACCTCCTAGCTTGGTGGTCACATGCCAAACTGACTGATGATAGAATTCGGTCAGTACTCAGGACTAGACAACACGAGATTGGTTGCTCTTCAGTGACCAGCGAATGTTTACGATAAAAATGTGCTGCACAAAGTGCTCTTCAATCAGCTTTATCACAACAAAGAAAACCACGATTTACGATGGATTCTAACAAACACGAAGTAAGCAAGCTGAAAAAATGACACACGTTAACACTAAACACAATGCACTACGACGTCACTTTACTTGGCTTATTGGCCGTATTACAAACTTATTCAATAAACTTCTATCAGGATTAGGGACACAACAGCTACATATATCAGAATCAACTGACTACGCTGCGTTTTAAGGGTGGTCACTGACATACGATAGAGATAAACGTAATCACTTCAAACCACCATGTTCCTTGCACACCACCAGATTATCTATTTAAATCTAAATAGAATGATGCCGAACAATCAGTGTATAATGGTATATCAACATTCATTAGATAAGTTATAAAGGAATGTAGAGGTTTGATAAATTCAATCAGAGGTAGATCAATCACTTACAATATTATTTTCACGAAACAACAGTATATGTCCACATTTACTTGGATAAATTTACTTCATATTTGTTTTAGCTTACTGACTTTAACTGTTGGATAGCTTTCAATAAACGCTGAAATCACTTATTGGTGTGTCGAAGAAAAGTTTACAGACTGTTACAACACTAAAAAATTTATTTGTCTGCCTTGAATCCACAATGCATCAAACATGACGGGAAACTGATAGCCATTCAATCCACATCCCTAGAGCTTATGCAGAAATGAAACCTTATTGAATACTTTGCATTGCTTACAGAAAGACGGCTCCCTGAACTTGAGATTATATTACCTGGGTTGCATAATAACCCTAGTGATTCTGCAAGGCTGTAATGGCAATATACCAGCAATCTTTCTATGCAATGCACTCTTTTACAACCATATGACTTGACTATCGGAGTACAACAGCCTTACAACTTAACTCGTGTGTCGACGAGGAAAAAAGTGTCCATAAAATACAAGTGTATCCAACAGACAAAATGTGTGCCTGGAATTTTAATATAAACTACGGTCACCAAATTTCATATATAAACTAGTGTTTTTATCCACGTAAAATGAGAATCATGAGGACTACAGTTGCTTCTAAAGGTTATAGAGTTTGAGACCTCAATAGCTAGCTATGCAATATATCAAACACCCAGAACAACCTACAAACGCAGTATTTCCCATCGGCACTTTTAGTCACAGCCTAGGTATTCTCTATGAGAGCAATTTACATCACGGAATTGCGTAGTATGCGGCAAACGTGAAGAAAGGTTCTATATGCGATGTTGTTTGCTTTTAACTACAGCTTATATATAAGACAGTGAAATTTTAAATAACTTGGTCATTACCCACTACGTAAACAGAAGAGGTGAAACACACACACTCTCTAGTGATCAATATGACTAAACATAAGGAGGTCATAAAATATGCAATTGCTAGACAACGCTCTGATAGTGAAAACAATTATAAAGGCTTCAGATCTACCTGTGAATAAACAATAAACGACAGGAACTGACATGTGAATGAGTTTCGTAAAAAACAAACAAGGATTGCCGTCATTGGTTGGTGAAAACAGAGAAGAAAAATTTGGTTTTAGTTGTCTGTTATATTTTCAGTCAAATCCAATAAAACAACAAGACTGAAAACAAGTTGAAGCTTTGAAGTGAATATAACGAATATAGCCTACATATCTACTTGACCTATTGATCATACAAACTAGTGACGATCATTATGGATGTATTAACAAGTTCTCAACTAACACGCTTGGTAGGTACAGGACAGGATATAGTTGGTAAAACAGCTATCATTGTGGTACACCATGTCTCGAAGACTCTACCACGTGCCAATGGTCTACACACTGTACACATGGCTAAAGCAATGGCTCCCAACCGATAGCTGCTACCTTGACGTGGTGGTCAGGCTTGCATATCACAATGACCCGAACGACCCTCGAGGTCCTACCATACCAGAAATGTCTGTTGGATAGTAGTAAGACGAAAAGCGGTTACCGTTGTGGTCTAAATTGCTACACTATGATGGGAGTCTGAGGGCGAAGTCGTACTGCTGCTAGCTGGATAGGAAGTGAAAACGGAAAAGAGAAGAGGGGTTGGAAAAGGCCGATCCCCAAAATAACACACTCCACCATACCCCACGGTCTGCAGGGTCGGCGGTGTTGGTTTATTTGCCGTTTCCTCTCGACCATCCGGCCCCAAAAACAAAAACGTTCAAAAACTTCATGCCCCAAAGGCTGCGTGTTACAGGCTTCAGGCAGATGTCCAACGGGTACTGCGGTCACAAAAATCTCTTTCAGGTATCTTCAAAAGAAATAGCCTTCCACAGTGTGAGCAGCCGGGAAGTGTCAACCACCCTCACAACTCTGTCAGCACTCAGGTTTCCAAGACTGCTATCCACCTTCCACATCATTACCTACCTCCTATTCTTCCTTCACGTCTCTCAATTAACGACACTACATCATATTCAATTTCTCCTACCTACGCAGTCTTCGACAACAATCTGAATCCACAGAACAGCATCTCTGGTCTCCTAAAACTATGATACAAATTACACATCAGAGCCTTCAATGTCCACACTCTCCGTCTAATTGGTCAACAGGCTTCGTTGGTAAAGACTCAGCAACTCGGGGCATGGATGTGTGCTGTGTTTGTGAGACACGCATACAGGACCAAAGTGCGGTTATTCACCTGCTTTCTCCCAATCAATCTGTTGAGTTCGTGAGATTCACCCTCCGAGTTTCTGGAGATTCGATAGCTAGATCTCGCCGTCTTGCAGGTGTAGGCATAGCATTAAGCACTAGAGCAGAAAACTCACTATTAGACTGGATCCCAGTTGATAGTCGCCTCTGCGCTATCCAACTGAACGGCACAGTGAGAACCAAAAAGAACAGGGAGACTCACCGTTGTCTCCTCGTAATCTCTACTTACTCACCCACTGACTGTAGTTCGGATGAAGTGAAGGACGAGTTCTACTGTAAACTAACCGTCTAGCCTCCTCTCGAAAGCAAAATGTTCGGACGTGGTGGTTGTTGCAGGTGACTTCGATGCACAGGTAGGTGGGTAGACTAAGTGAGGCAGAGAGGTACTTAGGTGGCACTTTCAGAATCCCGGCTGGACGTAGATATAACTGTGCTCAGATAACCGCCTATGGTTAGCTAGCACAAATTTTAGACAGACACTGTCTTATGTGGCGTCCACCGAGGTCAACCCAGTGATGGACACAGATAGACCACATTGCTATTAGTCATCGCTGGAGAGGATCGGTGGGAGACCGTCGCTCCTTCTGGAGTACGTGTTTGGATAGCGGCCACGCATTGGTCCGAGCACGTATATGCCTGCGTCTCAATGGACGTATGAAACATTTGGCAACACAACCACTATGAGTGCTTCTGGACAACGAAGACACCAAAGTCGTGTTCAGTGAGAAGTTGGCTAGACAGTTATTGAAACAAAAGACTGTCACTCATCCAGAAGACGTTGGGTGCCATCTTCAGTCTCCTGTAAAAGCAGAGTTGAAGACCGTAGCCGACTCCAAAATAGTGGCTAAAAGAGCCAGTGGATATCAGCAGCTTCTTCCGAACTAATGGATGCACATGAATGCATCCCTGCCCGCTGGCTCTGAGCACAATGGAGAGCAAGCACAACTTAAAAGTAGACTGAGAAAAAGTCTACGCAACAATCGCGAACAGTGGTGGGTAGCGGAGGTTAAAGCGATGGAAAAGGTGGTGGAGACTGGTAACAGTAAACAATTATTTAGACTCATTAAGGAAACTGTGGGTGGGAGGGAGTCAACAATAGTTAGTGAGGCTATAGCGGAGAAGGACGGATCTGCGATTGACTCTCAGGAGAGATGACTGCAACGATGGGCAGAACACTTCGAGGAACAGTCTAACTGGCCTTCAGCCACCATCGCGTTGACCGCTATCCAGTTGGATCCTGAATAGGACATTGAGACAGGCCCCCAACACTAGTAGAAGTCGAGAAAGCTGTAGGTAACCTGAAACGAGGAAGGGTTGCAAGACCAAACAGACTACCTGCTGAGGTATACAAGGATGGCGAGAAGTCCTCTTGTGATAATCACAGAGGAATCAGCCTGACGAACATAGTGTCCAAGATCCTAGGTTCTATAATTCTCCGACGCCTGAGTGGAGCTCGGGAACAGCAAGCTCAACAAAACCAGGTAGGCAAGCATTAGACCCGGCCGGGGGTGTATCGACCAAATATTCACACTGAGCCAGGTTCTTGAACACGGACACGCTTACCGACGCCCAACACTAACTGTATTTCTCTACCTGAAGGCGGCAGCATTCGACTCTGTTGATCGAGAAGTCTAATGGCAATGTCTCTCAGTGAAAGTCGTGCCGAGTAAGTACATCACTTTATTGAAGGCTCTCTACTCGAACACTTGTGGGCATGTTAGAGCCTATGGTGAGATGTCCAGGGAGCTATACTCATCGAGAGGTGTCCGTCAAGGGTGCCCACTGTCTCCATTTTTATTCAATTTTATCATAGGTATTCTTATGGAGGTCTCCCTCTCATCACCAGGTTATACAGACGTTGACCTAATCACAGGAGAATTTTCGTTAGACTTAGAATAGTCCTGTTAGGTGAATACGCTGACAAGATGTAGAGTCTTCTGAACACTTTGAGTAGAAATTTGAGAATGTTTGGGATGCGTTTCTCACCACCCAAATGCAAATCGTTGCTCCAGGATTGGTATTCAACGGTGCCACGGCCAACAAAAGAGTGTAGTGGTTGAGTATGTCAACCACTTCACTAACCTGGGAAGTTGGATCAGCCCTGGTGGCTCAATGGCCGATGAAATCTCTGCACGGATACAAAAGGCTCGATTGGCTTTTGCCAATTTGCGCCACCTATGGCGCCGCCGTGATTATCCGTTTACCTATTAAAGGTCGCATGTACTGCACAGTAGTCCGCTATTTTCTACTGTATGGTTGTGAAACATGGCCAGTGAAAGTGGAAGACTTGAGAAGGCCATCCACCTTAGCTACAAAATTCTCCACTATTACATGAGAAGGCTTCAGGTGTTTGACCACCGTTGCCTTCGTAGTATAGGACGTATTCCGTGGTGTCACCACATGAGTAATGCAAAAGTCAGGTGTAGAGTTTTGGGGAGAAGAGGTAAGTCAGTCGACGAGGTTGTGAACCTTCATCGACTGAGATGGTTGGGACACGTACTACATATGCCTAGTCACCGATTGCCTCGTCACACAATGTTGGCTGAGGTGAGTCCAGACTGGAAAAGGGCCCGAGGTAGCCAGACTAAAACATGGCACCAATGTATGAAGTCTGTGACTGTTGGTTTAAGCCATGTAGGACGATGCAGACAAAGTGGTTGGGGTCGGTGGGACAAGAGGAACCAGTGGTTGGAGACCCTAGGTGATATGGCTCAGAACCGAAGTCAGTGGCGCAGATGTATACACACATTATCCTCATCTTAACAACGCTATACCGAATCTCACCATTTTGTCACTCCTCTTTCCGTTCTTCTCGTACTTTATATTTCTTTTGACTGCATTCACTTATCTTCATCCTTCACCTCACTACCTTTCTACTTGATGAACTGACGTGAGGTGTGGCAACTCGGACCGTCACGCAGTAATGCCTGGTCCTATGTTGATAATAATAATGATGATGATGATGATCCTATGTTCATATTCATGATGATGATGAAAGCTATGGCTATACGATTAACTGAGCCTGAGCTTTGTTTGAAGAAAGAACACGATCAAATCTTACTCTTCCAGTGGCGATTTATTATCTTTTTTAAACACAATTTTAACCCTGCTGTTTTCCACTTTCTTCCTCTCTTATTCTAATAAATATTTCAAGATTTTGAATGTATCCTGACCAACTAACGACTGCATTGTTTGGAAGAACTTGAGCACCAAATAGACACACAAAATCAACGTAGAAACTCGCATACAAGTGTATCGGCTCGCGTTTTCATTTTTCACAGTAGTTATACAAACAACAGGAGGATAGAAAAGGAGTGATATCAAAGTAGACAAGGAACTGTGTGGGAATAAACAATCTCAAGATAAAGGTTTGAGCAAATAATCAAGCTTTAGATGTCAACGGGTTAATACATCTGCGTCACTGTGACCGATTTTCATTCCAGTCACTAAGAGTCCTCAATCATTGATTTCCATCATCTCAGGCAGCCCAACCTGGCAGTCTACATCTCCCAACACAGATCAGCCCGACAGTGAGAGACTTCATCGGGTGGAGCCACTTCTTCGTCTGGCCACCCTGAACCCTCTTCCAATCTAATCCAACTTCCCTCGGCACGGCACGTCAAGGTCAACGGTGACTCGGCATCCACAGTACATGTCCAGCCATCTTAAACTGACGAAACCTGTCTTGTCTAGTACCCTTCGCCTGACCTCAACACTGCTCACATAGTAGTTCCATCAAGTGCAAACAATGCTACGAAGACCTCTGTGATCAAACTCTGTAACCACGCTTCAGATCCACTTTTACCGGCCATATCTTCTAGCCGTATAACACGACAGAATGGACTAAGGGAGAGTATACTAGTCCTTCAATAGATGATCGGATGTAGTGTTAGTGCCACGTGTGATGCAAGTTGGCAAATGCAAAACGAGCCTTCAGTATCTGAGTTGAGATTGCGCTGGCAACCAGCCCGTTCAGGCTGATGCAACTCCCCATGTAAGCAAATCGATATAATTGCTATCGGTTAGTGGCTAAGCAAAAACGTCAACATGTGTTTAGTTATTCATATAATGCTAAATAATGCACAGATTTCTGCATTTCCACACAGGAATGATGAGACAAAACACAGACAGACAGAGGACTTGATATAACTGCATAAAATAATAAGAAAAAACAGTGAAATAAACTTTGAAAACTAAGCATGATGGTGGTGAAGCTAGAGATGATTCAATTTTGAAATTAACTTGAAAACTCTTTCTTATGTAATAGAACACTTTGATGTTACTCTGTTTTCTTGGAACAAAATACAGTAAAATAAACTCCAACAGATTGTATTTTCTGTCCAAATATGAACCTACCGATAGTCTACATAAAGACTTGACTAAGTGGAAGTACAATTAACCTAAAAACATTGGAAACGTCTAGGCATCAATTAAACGCCAAAGTAGGTAGAAACCATTATAAACACCAGCTATGGTGTAAACAATAGAGGAAGGTTACTTAACGAATATATGAGTCACTCATGGGGATCTGGGTTAGACATTCGGAGGACAGTTGAAGTGGCTTTTCCTTCTTCACCTACGAAAAGAATTTAACAGAGGGATCATTCAGCCAACCACTTGTGAGGTTGGGTTTGTATGGAATAAGAACAATGAGACAATTTCATGCTCAAGCCTTGTTGAAGAACTGGAGAGACCATTGAGATAGTGTGGCCCTCTCATCTTACCAGGTAGTATAGTCACTTATTACTCCAACATTTAAGAAAGACGAAGAAACTACTTGACAGAATACTGTCACCGGAATTAAAAGTTGAATATAAAGTAGTACAACAGACACATGTTAGACTCTCCAGTTTTCTAAGGAGAAAGAAATACACTTACTGAGTTTGAATTTCCCTAACGAACCAATCTCATATATTATAGCAACTTTGAGTGTACTATACCAAATAGCACTAAAACAACATGAACTGTTTTATTTTCAAGCACTTTAACATAAATAAAAATCCTCCGAGCCTAGTACAATAAAAATGAATTTTAGTAAGTCCCATAATCCATATTAAGATACATTTTCCTAAATAAGTCGCATTTTATATGTAACAAGGGGGGAGAGTGTCAGTTCTGTGGTTTGTTTTGTTTCTCCAAAGAAACTGAATATCTAAGGTATGCTTTAAATGTCACGTGATCATCTAGCTGGAAGAAGGACGGGAGCGGGGGAGAAGCGAATCGAAACAGCTGCATATGAATTGTCAATAAACAGAACAACTCACTTAAAGTAAATTAATTCAGTAAGGTTATGTTCAACGAATCCAGTGTGTAGTTGAAATTGAGCTATCTTTACTGAACTGATCTAAAGTAAGCAAGATGATAGAAGAGAAAAACAAGTGAGATGATAATTTGAAAGACCTTCAAGTTGATCATAATTAATGTAGATAAGCAATTTATCTGCTCACTTTGAAAAAACGTTACACGGAATGCTTTTCTAGTAGAAATGGTATGACACTGACTGGCTGACAAAATAAGAGTAGGACCTGGCACACAATTTGTATCGGCTTAAGTTGCCACACTTTACAATTATGTCGAAGTAGACAAAGTTGTATGAGAGAATGAACAATTTGAAAATAATGATTGGAGATAATCAGCCTTTAGAAGATGTCAACGAGTAAATCCATCTGCGCCAATGTGACCCATTTCCAGCCATATCACCAAGAGTCCGCAACCACTGATTCCTTACGTCTCGAGGACCCCAGTCAGATAGTCTACATCTCTCTACACGACTTATACCAAAAGTCAAGGGCTTCATCGACTGGTGCCACATTTTGGTTTGGCTACCTTGAACCGTTTTCCAACCTAATTCAACTTTTGCAGAAATTGCACGTCGAAGTAGGCGTGGTCCAGAATGTGCAAGAAACAGTATTAAATTGATCGGATAAATACACTAGCTAATTCCAATGAATAAGTTTAACTCGGATGAATTGTTTAAATAAATAAAGTTGGAAGTTTAAAGAAAAGTTACAAGCAGCGTTAAAAGTGACATCGTATACTCAGAGGGTGACACCCCTAAACAAGCTTTGATTTGTAATGAAACTAGCTCATCTCACCTTTACTCAAGAGGTTAAACCTATGAAAAAGATATGCTTTAATTTATTCCACTACTAATGTTTATACCACAGACCAAATGATACGCTCATTATGAAAGAATTATGAGCAAAGGAAATGACTGCTAATTTTTATGTAAACTAGTTACCACAGACATAAAGAGACTGAACTGGGTAAGGTAGTAGTAGTAGTAAGTAGTACAGTGGAGTGCAGAAAGCTAAATCGAAATATACTCCACAATCTTGTGCACATTCGTGCAGTAGGCAATGAGTCACATCTATTGTGTGGGGGTTAGTGATTCTATAATGTGTACTACTGATAAGAATGTATATAAGTAGTACATGCTGAGAAGTCGGAAGAAGCTATAAGCAATTATGAACGATGGGTAAATATTCTGTACAGAGAAACGAAAGCGATAATGTTGGTCTATCAAGGACAAACGAGACAGAAGAAGAAGAAGACGAAATGAAACACATTGTGCAAAGAAACTGAAACCTTGTCAATGCGTGACTGACCATGTTCCATCGATATCTGCACCCTATTAACTTGCAATCAAACTCAGATTCTTTTGCTTTTTTTATAATTCCTGCTTACTTTTACTTAACAGTGATGTTACTTTCTGTCTGTTGAATTATTCTCAAACCTCAAGTATTTCTGTTAAGGAGATTGATTGTTCAAAATTAAGATATTCATTTCCGCAGTTCCACTTTGTCTCACCGTGCCTCAGTCAAAAAGACCTACTAGGAAATAAATTTTCCTCAAGAACTAACCTCAAAACTATTGAGAACTATGAGAGTAGCGGAAAGATGTTTCATATTAACTTAGTACTCCTCAACCGAATTCGAAGCAAAAAAATATCTGTTTTGATTAAGGATAGAAAATGAACACAAATACCTAGTAAAACATATTTTATCTACATCAAAGAAACTAGATAGTTTGTAAAAGCCATTGTTCATTAAGAAAAATAATCTACATATTGAACAATGGTTTTAACTTATTATTATGGAAATAGAGTTTCAGAAATCAAGAAGCAACCGAAACAAAATAAGATAATCATTGAACAACCTCTTCTCACAAGTTTGTATACTACTCGATAGTAGCAGATGAAAGGGAATTCGTCCAGTGAATCTTAACAGTTAGCTACTGTACTGAATCGTTCAAAATTGAATTACAACTATACAACGGTATAACCCATTGAATAGTAAAACACACTAATTCATGATAACTAATATATATATATATATATATATATATATATATATATATATATATATATATATAAGCAGATGTACATTTAAAGCTAGTTAAAATTACTTTGCCACGTCCAGCAAATGAAGATCGACAATGATAGATGATAACTGTAAGATCACCGAGAACGGTTAAACCATTCAAAAGTATCTCAATTTTTCCATCTTCAAGAACATATGGTCTAATATAAAATGAAGGTAAAAATAAAATATACCAAGTAATAATTAAGTTTTTTATTCCTGCTACTGATAACAAAAAGGTTGATTTAGAAAATACAAGTTCATAAATATTGACAATATTTCCCACTTTGATATCATACCTAAACAAAATGCGCTCAATTAATAAGTGTAAAGCTTGGGCACTGTGGTAGAATTTAATTCCATATTAGATTTATTTATTTGATTTATAACACACAATGATCTAGTATTATTTACTTGATGACGTTCCGAGCATAAATTATCACTACTCATAATTATATCAATATAATCACACTACTTTCGACGTCACTTTATATGAGTTGTTTTATTGGTAGCAAAATTTTCCATATCTCTAGTATAGGTGTTGAGTCATTTCTATTACATGTGTTGTGTGTTGATCCGATGAACGAAGATTCAGCAAGCAATCTGTCTTTCCACCTAATTATATTGATAATTTTATCCCACGCTGTTGTATGGTTGTGATAATGAATGTATTGCAACAGCCGAGTTCTTTTGTAATTATTGATCTTATTCGAGTGTCATTCTATATTGAGCTAAATTTCTAGGTTCCACTATTCTAACTGACCCCAACCGGTTAGTTTGACTTATGTACTTGATTTCACAGTCATTACATGGAATTTGATAGATTAGATTATTTTGCTTTATTGATTCTATCGGATCCTTAAACCGACAAAGCTTATCTATGAGTGAGTTTGTTGGTTTAAATGTCACCCTAATTCCAGCTTCGTTGAGGATCCTACATAAAGTTCCGCATGTACCTTCCTTATAGGGTAACACAATGAAGGCTGTGAAATCTTTTCTACTCGTGTTGTCATTATTATTCAACAACAACAAGCAAGTTTATGCAATAGACAATTAGCCAAACCTATTGTGTAAGGCGTTGATGGTTGGTTAAGACTTCGAGTGGTGGATTAGGGTTTAAACCTGCGAGCCATCGGTCGAAAGTCAAAATGCCTACAGCTCCACTCCACTTTTTATAATGGTAATAATAATAATGATAATAAAATGAATGAAGTTTATAGTCCTGAGTTTCACTCAACGTAATCCAGCAACCCAACGTAGATGGAATTAGCTCCATATTTCAGGTTAACAAATTGAAATTCAAGCACTTATGAAGCTAAACTAATGCTTGAAAGTAAATCTTTCAGTAGCATACCATACCAGGATATAAGGTTACAAGGAGAGTAGGTTGAAATCGTGGTTCACTGGTTGCAAGTCGTGTTCACACCATTAGATCATATAACATCAGAGACCAAACAAACCACTTCTTACAAAATGAAGTTTGCAGTAAATTTCGTAATCCTACCAGTTATTCAACTACACGAGAACAGAATCTTTGAGAACAATAAATGGTCTATGGATGCATTTTAATAGTCAATGAAAATTTTTTGAGATATTATTAGTAGAGTGAATTTTGCATTGGTGGAAATGATTTAAATAGCTGGTTTAAACCTAGCGGCGGTCAAAACTTTCATTTCACCTTCAACCATTACCAAGTAACAGATTTAAAAGATAATATTAACTCTACACACCATTAATCAAGGGATTTCTCATCAAAACACAAACAAAAATCTTCCTGATAGAACATAGTGAACAAAAAACAATCCACATTCGTACAAATGGCAATGAGCCACACCTGTTGTGTGACGGTTAATGATACTATCTCGCTGCCTAAACCTCGGTAGGTGAAGCGATCTCTGAACCCGTGACTCACTGGTTGAAAGTCAACGTTTTAAACTAATGAACCACAGCTCAAACAATAATAAAGCTCTGGAAGTAGTGAATGTTAAAACCGTCAAAATCATACAGTATGAGAAAATTCAAAGTTTTACAATAAGCAGTATACAACTACAATAGTCTAGTTACTGATCAACATAATGATTCTTTCCTCTAGTGTTGACGAACTATGGGTGACCTGTAACACCTTCAGAAAACAGTTGATATTCATCGATCATGAAGTAACTGAAAAACCCAAGGTCCGAAGTCTGAAGGCTCCTTTGACTGTTCAGAATAGAAACCCGACTTTTTTCGATATAGAAAACATCATTTAAGCGTTCATTATAGATATTATGCTACGCGCATGACCAACCTATCTCATCACTTCTCCATCGTGACATAAACTCGCAAATTAAGTTGCTTTACCAACAAACAGAACTCTGGGGGTAAACAGGATTCCATATTAAGGTACTTACCTCAAATTATCATAATCTGTATAGGTGGAACAAACTCTGGTTTTTCCTTCAAATATTTCCACATAAGGACGACATCCATTTCTCAAATCAAAGAAAGAAAGATAAAACGAAGATTTATTACAATTGAAGTTTTTCAAAGCTATACCAGAAACCACTATTCAAGACCTAACCAATATATACTAACGGTCTAACCATTAACAGACAGAATAGCAATTTCATAGGAACACAAAGTCATCATTTTTCGTATCATACCAAACCAGTGATTAATAATGAAGAAATAAAACTTTATCAGTCAGTAAGAGAGTGGTTGATTCGAGTGAACAGAAGGGATGTACTTGTAGGTCATAATAAGCTTCAACGGTTAACAAAAGAGTGACTATTCATAAAAGTTGCATTATTAACCAGCTAGTAAACTCAACATTGAAATCATACTTTTCAAAATCAATAACACATCAGAAAGTTGTAACGTAAGTTGGAAGGCAGGTGAAGAGAGATCGTGGACGAAACTCTTAACATGAATTCTATTCCCTAGTATCAAAATAATTCTTTGCCAATCTCTTGCATAAGTGAACAAAAAAACAAGTGAAAAATAGAAAAATTAAATCCTTCGGAGTGACATATTAGATAGATGCACAATATTGACAATAAACTTCCATTTATCATAGCTTCTCTCTTGCTGGCTCTTTGGTTTTGAGATAAATTACAAATGAAGGTCAACATGATTTTTTTTTTCAATAACAGTTATCAATGGTCATCAACCATCACAGCTACTGAGTATTATAAAAAGATGCCAGAAATAAATATAAGGAAGGATTGCACTAGTCAAGTAGAACAATAAACACAACCAGCATGCAGGCATCAAATTTTTATGTAATTATTAAACTTGAAAATTCTGTCATTCAGCTGAAGTTTAATTGAGATTATGCAACGGAAAACTCATCGACAAAAGAGAAAAACAACTCAATCCAGATGGACACACATACAAGGTGTGTTGATTTATTCCCCTATTGACTGGCACAAGATTCAAGCATCGCAAGATATTTATCAGCAAGGAGTTCGGCAACCGGTTGACAGTGCTTTTAATACGCCTTATCGTTTACAGTCTATAAAAACCAACACATACAGCTTATTTGTAATTCACTAAATGTTCTTATAATTTGATCACTTGTCAAACTTTGTCATAAGAAATCATTTCAGTCCCGACAACCTAGATGAAGTTTTCAAAGGTTTAAAGTTGTTTCTCCTACAAACTCGATGTTCAGGAAATACTAACGCAATCAAGAACTTTACACCTTCATTTGAAACAATCTATTACTACACAGGCTTCATAAAATGATTACAACATCAAGCGTGGAGCGATTTCACTCGATCTAAACACTTGATTGACATCCTTTTATTCCGTCTATCTACTTTTATATCTTTCGGCTTTGCTTTAATGTTGTCTTACTTCTTTTCACTTCCCTTTCCTATACATGTGAAAAGTGTGGCAATTTAGACTAAGGTATTAATGATCAAACTTCCACCTTCATCTACGTTTAGTGACAAAACTCCAAGATTATATACGACTGAAATGTAAGATATCAATGCAGCCCAATGATCTAGTGAGGGTATAAGAAATAATTTGTTAGTCGATCTAAACATAAGCCAATAGTGCTAACCGATCATCTAAGCCCCGATAAGTGAACCCAAGTTCCCATCTGTAGTTCTACAGTTGCAAATCACATGTACAAGCTAATGACCACTTCAAATGCACAAGAAAACATCACCCCAGCACGAAAATGTGTGAATTAATTACTCGGATGTGTATATTTTTGTACAAAATATCAAAATAACTTGAAACTATCAATTATCAAACAATAAGAATTATTCATTATTTTGGTATTTATGTTTACAAGTAAAAATACAAAAACAAATACCAAAAGAATGAATATCATTTACTCTATCCAGATTTTTTTAAACTATCAAATCCCAACTTGGCGTTGATATCTATAAACTGAACTAAAATTATGTTGTCCATATGAGCATATCAATATAAACCACTACTGACCATTTCCTGAATAAATTTTCGTCGGAATACCACCAAAAACTCGATTTACTGAAGTTGATATAATTACATAATGAAATATTGTTTGTCTAATGGGAAACATCGGTAACCAAAGAGAAAACATCTATATAAGATTTAGCCATGTCAAATATAACTGTTTGTTTGTTTTCGTTGGGATTTACAAGATCGAACCTGTTATGTCAAAAATAGCTTACTGTCATTCTTCTGACTCCAAAACTTTGATAAAACATCGTTATGCAGCAAAGTGCTGTAACCCACATATATGTAGAATTAAACACTGTGATCTCTACTTCAGAATTTTTGAATTCTTGATTAACTCTAGCAATACTTGGTGAATCTTGTTGTTATAAATCGAAAGAATTTCGGCAAACTGTTGTTCTGGTTATGTAATATTCTCCTTTGTCTGGAGACTGATACCGAAAACTTACTTTCATAAAATAATTGCTAAACAAGATACCTGAACCAAAAACAAAGAAGATTTACTAAGAAGTACTGAACCGACTGACTCATGTTTTCATGTAAAACAGAATATCAATTCTAACTCGTATGCCATGCTCAAAGTTTGGAGTCAGACAGAAGAATCATGAAAAGCATACTCTATAGAGTAATTTCAATTGTGTGAACCTATCCGATGGAGGTGGTAGCGATTCGACACAATCATGGCTTCTATAGATGTAGTCTCGTTATTTACCAATGTTGCGCGGGCAGAAACTGCATGCTTTTTTAATGTAAATTAATTTACTCAAATAACCAAGGAATTGAAATATTTTAGTAGATGAACGTTTGCTCTGCAATTGTATATTATCCATATAAATTAGGTGAATCTATTCAACACAATATGCAGTAAAGAGAAAGGATAACATAGGAAGTGAAATAGTGAAGTAGTAACTGTAAATCCACAGTGAATAGATTAGTAATTACATACTACAAAGCTTAATGTTAGTGGATAACTGTGTATATGCTATTAAATTAAATTCACTCGAATGTTGAAAGAGATGTTTCTTTGTTAAGGAAGTATGAAGGATAAGTTAGATAAAAGGTAGTGAAAGAAATCAGTTAGTTCAAAAATTATCTGTCAATCTCTTAGGGGAGCTGTGAAAGATCCCTAGGAAGTATTAGTAGTATCCGCAAAAATAAACGTCAGGGGACACACTATAAGTAATCGACAAAAATCAAGATCTACTCAGTTACGTTTAGCACATACATTCAGTTAGCACTGAGATATACACAGATTGTGTGAAGAGTAATGATACTACTACCTGACTGTCCAAATCTCGTGAAGTGGAGCGGAGCTAGAACCTGTGAACTATGAGTAATGTTAATATTTATTACTTTGTAGCTTCATATATGGATATTGGATTGCATACAGTTCGTCTGTTCAAATGGCTAAAGATGCTAGGAACTGAAGAGTGAGTAAAGTAGCAACAACCAGTGCTTAAACATAACTTGCCAAAACTCTGATGGTGAAAATTATATTCAAATGAATGAATATAACAAGAATTAGATTTTCTTAGATGACATCTTATAAGAAGTTTATTCAGACAGCAAAACAAGGTTTGTAACAAAAGAAAGGTTGGTAGTTGTTAACAATTTTACTAGAAAATACTAAAGTAGTTTTTCAAAAAGATAGGCAATTGGATTTTAGAGTATAAAATGGCACAATGTCGTATTTAAAAAAACACAAACTTTTATTTGTACACAGAATGCATCAATTAACAGTTTCAACTTGCTATGGAACTTATTTATTAATTTATCACATTAATATTAGTCTAGGGTTTAGGCTAATAGTGGAATCTAGAAAAATGTTTTCACCAATTTGTGATCAATCAGTTCGATACCATTGTTTTACAGTGAGTGCTGATGTTGTTGGATAGTTGAAGGTGATCTGTAGGATCGATAACAAAATTCGGTCAACGTCAGAACACATGAAGAAATTGGCTACTTTCCAGTGACTAAGCAGTAAAATCTGTTGTTTGTAGAGAACTGATTCAGACAAAAGCTGAAGAATTAGACTAGTGAATCATCTTTAGTACCACAGCTTGCAATCTATCTTTGTTGTTGTGTTCATTGAACCGAAGGAATCGGCCAACGTAATATACAAATATCATAAAAACGAATTTATTTATCTCCGGAGCAATAACACTCTAAAAAAATTAACTATAAGCTTCGTGCAGCATAACTTAACTTTTCTTCACTTTTTACTGCTTATTGTTGTTGTTGTTTTGTCTCGAGATCTTACTTATATATACAGCTGAGAAGAGCTGTATTCAAATTGTTTCTCATGCTATCATAAACTGACTGACTGACAAAATCAAACTCGAACCTCTCACAGATAGTACACCGACTCAACTTGCCGTTCTTCGCAGTAGTATGCAAAGAACAAGTGGATACAAAAAGACTAATATTGAAGTAGATAAAGTTGTGTGAGAAAATGAACAATTTAAAGATAACAATTAGTGTAAATATTCAACCTTTTAAAAGACGTTAATGAGTGAACACATCTACACCACTGAGAATCACTTGCAATCATGTTACCAAGTGTGACAATTTGAACCGATAAATTTCTGTGTTAGGTTCTATGTTGATATGTCTGTCTTTCATTGAAATGACCAATGTTTTTGTTCCTCTTCCACTGTATAAACGTTAATTACCGCTATCATGTATGCATTAAGTTGTCAAACATCAATTAAGCTTTATCATTTTCATAGAATAAATCCGTATTATACATGCATTTTAGCATTTTGCGTTTGAAATGTTCATTGGTTTGCACACAAGAATTTCTGTTGATATCTTAATTTCGGTTTAAAACAAAAATATCTATGCCAGCATTGCCTTTCAGTGAATTCTCCGTAACGTCTTCAAAAAATTCTACTTATAACATAGACTAGGTAAAACAACTAATTTTCATTGCATATCCTTATTCGTTTGTAAATATAAGGATGTAATAATAATGGTGAGTTCTGAAACTGTAGTTCATCAGTGATGAGGTTATAAAACTTAGTCGATTGAAATAGCCTAAACACGTACTGCGCATGCCTAGTCAATATCCACCTCAACGTGCCGTGCTGGGGAAGTTGGATTAGGTCGGAAGAAGGTTCGGGGAGGCCAAACCAAGATGTGGTACCAGTCGATGAAGTCCCTGACTGTATGTCTCAGGCGTATGAAGAGATGTAGACTATCTGGCTAGCATCCTCAAGACTATAAGAATCAGTGGCTGGAAATCATTGGTGACATGGTTGCAAGTGATTCTCAGTGATGTAGATGTATTCACTGAATATTTACACTAATTGTTATCTTTAAATTGTTCATTTTCTCACACAACTTTATCTACTTCAATATTAGTCTTTTTGTATCCACTTGTTCTTTGCATACTACTGTGAAGAATGGCAAGTTGAGTCGGTGTACTTTTGTGAGAGGTTCCACTATGATTTTGTCTGTTTGATTAACTAAGCATAATTAATGATTTGTGAAGAATTATTCATTGCAATGTCAGAAGATGGGAAATGTAATTCATTTCTTTTCTGAATATATATTAATACAAATTCAACCTTATATATTAGAAAACACAGTTTTCCTAATGATGTATCATCCGTTAAGGAAGTTGATGATTTAAAGGACTAGATTCATTTTTAAGATGGTTTCAAAGTTCTAAACAAGCCAGTGTGAAACCAAACAAATAGCTATGGACTCCTGTATTAGACTATGAACTAAAAACAAGAGTATAAGGGTAAAAAACATCAATTGTCTACAGTAAACCACGACATTTAGAGACAACATTCTAAATGAACAGAGTAACTCAGAAAACGAATGCAGCGTTATGAGCTGCAGTGAATAGGCAACAGAGTTCAAACCCTTCGCAAAGTTGACCGCCTAAAACAATCAGCTAAACTTTTTTGAAACCAATCACATCAAGTTTCTTAGCTTTCAGTAAGTGTTCATAACTTGAACAATGAGTTACTCAAGACCTGGTTCATACTCGATAAAAATATGATTTCGGTTGGAAAAAGAAACGGTATTTTCGAGATCATACACGTTAATCATATATTGAATGTGTGCACTTAGGACAAAATATTTACTGAACGCTCAAGAAACAGACAATGAGACATGAGACACAAATAAGAGCACTCACTTGGATTTATTAAATGTTGGCACTGGTGCTATAGTCAAACTGATAAGGTTCAATGGAAAATGATGCGGGGTAAATACACGATTATGACTCAACTGAGCCACATAGTCAATATATCTAAAACAAGATAGTAAAAAAAGGAAGAGGAGATTGAAAATTCAGTTACATGATATGAACATGACTATGCAACACCGATTCAAATAGATTTTTAGAAATGTATTATTTCATCTGGATAACGCGAACAGTATAGAAAAGACATAGCATATGACAGCGGACAAATAATTATCGGCGAAATCAACGTAACCATGAAAGTGTATATTCTCTCATTTGGTTTTGAGATTTTCCCGGATGTTTTCACATTACTAACAGTGATATACTCAGATGTGCCAATATCTGTTATCTGGTCGTCATTTTATCAAACAGTGCATGAAATTTAGTCGGTAAACTATACACTTCTGCGGGTTTTGTTAACTACAATCCATCGTACAAAGGTAAGTGCTAACTTTAAATTCATTCTCAGGCAAATCCATTAGAAGTTAAAACACTAGTCAACCGTTTCCTTTGAGCAATTTATTGATGCTTCAGGTTTACGTAATCTTCGTTCAAGTTGTTGAAGTAGTTTACTTGTCCTCAAACTTAAAAATGAGAAATCTAATACACGAATTACTTGTTGATTTTTTGTCATCAAGGAGCGCATAAATAGTGTTTCACATATATTGAAGATTTTCTGTTGAAATTTAGCAGCCCAAAATGTGAACACATTTCTAGCCGAGTAAGTGCTGATGAAACATTCACGATAAAATATGGAAGCACAGAGAAAGTACCAACATTCCTCTCAAAATTTTAAATAAAACACAATAGCTAATTCACTTCAACAACAGTTACATTACATGACTATTGGACAATAAATTGTATACGAAGTGAAATCCAGCAAATAACACTATTTCCCCGTGTGACAAATCTAGTAAAACAACTGAAATGGGAGAAGTATAGCACGGAAACAACATAATCAGATTTTCAAACGTTTAAAGTTGTGCGTATCAGTCAATTTATCTCAAGGATGCCTAATCACTTACTCCATGACGCTTTACTTCGATCATAATTACATGATTGAAGATGAAACTAGTCGTTTTTCGACCAACTTTACGCTCCCAACGTTTACATGCCTGCATTCAACTTCCAAGCCCTATTTTCAATAGTTTCGTCATATTATACACAGTAGTGAAAACTATGAAAACCCATGCCACTTTTGAATAATACTGAAACAGATAATTGGCAGAAATCACTAGTGCCAAGCGAATTCATACAAAATATTTAACTCATCCCATTTCAGAAGAATAAGTGCATCCATAAAGTGCATATGAAATCATGATGAAATGTCTATGTATTTTTTTTCTCGACCATGATGAGAAATATCCTTTTACGACAGACAGCTGAACAATACAAAGAAGATAAGTTTCACGCAAGCAAATTCAGTCAAATTGAAGTGAATTATCCATTAGCATGCATAAAACTTTCAGTTTAGCAACTCATTTTCTGATAGGGTGGAAAGTTAAAAGTTGCCTACAGTGAGAATCCGAACAATATTTAAGGTTAAGGAACAAAAAATCATACCTGATTTGTGATGCATTCAGTCCTGGATTACCGCGTCTTGATGCGAACAACTGAATAGCAGGTGAAGCATTATCAAACACCTGACAAAAGCATAACAGTGAGCACGCCAACACTGCAGATAATGTCTTTCCATCAGTACAGTGTATCACACAAATATTGTTAGGCTTTTGGCTTAACCATAGTCTAGCATTTAAGCATAATTCAATTAAAGATTTTAGTGAAGGAGCACGATGCGACTCAAAACCTCGATGTGATACTCTGCCGTGAAACCAGTGATCTGATCGATAGGCACGTGTACTAAGATTGTAAACTGCATAGGCATCTGGAAAACGTGCATCTAGCATACTTTGCATTTCTTCAATCGAATTAACATTGGCAAGTACTTCAAATCCACTTTCAATGGGGAAAGATGTAACTAAGAGAGAAGCAAACCAAATTTATGGATACAATGATGAATTTATTCGTAAAATACAACAACAAAGACATCTGAACAATTTAGTAATAAGTTCAGCTTTATAATTATGAACTTGGGCTCGCGTTAAATGTATTGGCAATGTCTGACTGTGACTGGAGTATCGAACAAATATGTGATTCTCATCAAAGCTCTTTACTCGAAATCACGCAGCCATGCAAAGGACTTATAGAAAGCTGTCACGTGAATTGACAACTAGCGGTGTCCGTCAGGGATGTCAACATTCCTATCTAATTTCGTCATAGACATACTCGTGGACATAACCTCATGTATGTATGTATAACTTCGAAGAGATTGACCTAACCCCTAGAGGACATCTGGTTGACTTGGATTATACAGATGATATTGTCATGCTAGGTGAAGACGCTAACAAATAAAGTATCTTCTGAAAGCCTTCAACAGAAATCTGACCGCGTTTGGCATGTTTTGCATGATGTTGCTCTAGGACTGGTCTGCTGCAAGTACTCTCAGTTAAATGATAGGATGTGAAATGGTGGGATGTATCGACCAACTGGTATGATCAGTGGCGCCAAATGGTGAGATATCTAGCTATCAAAAAATGAGTATACTGTTTTCAGTAAATCGTCTTTT